TCATGTAAATCCGGGAGAACAGACCAGGTGAAGTCTAGTGCAGCGGAGGAAGAGCAGACTGAGAGATCGATGCAAGAGAGAGTATGAGTACGAGGATCAAAATGGGTGTGAGTACCTGTATTTAAAACATGGAGGGGGTGGGAAGCAAGAAAAGCCTCTAACTGAATGCCACGGGAATCACAGTGAGACCCCCCCCTCCCCCAGAGGAAATGATGGGCATTAAAATCACCAAGTAACAGAAGTGGTGGTGGTAATGACGAAACAAGAAAGGCAATATCCGAAATAGATAATGCTCGAGAAGGAGAGAGATACAAAGAACAGAGTGTATACCACCTATGCAGGTGGATACGGGCTGCTGTGTAATGCAGCGAAGTACGAACAAATAGCTGATGGTACGGAATATCAGTGCGTAGAAGAAGGGCACTTTCATTAAAGGTCCCATCAGGAAAAGGATCCGAAGAATACAATAAATTATAGCCTGAGATGGGATAGATAACAGCAGAGTGTAATTTTGGTTCTTGTAAGCAAACACCAACAGGGGAAAATTGGGAGAGCAACGTCTGAAGCTCACCCCGATTACCCCTGAGGCCGCGTATATTCCACTGTAAATAGGCCATGATTGGCAACGATAAAAATACTAGAAATCTGCAGGTAAGGGTACTTACAGACTAGAGGGGTTAGAAAAGTCCACATGCGGTGGCAGCGGAAAACGTTCAAGCAGCGAAGGAACGGTGCGCTGTGAAGAAAGGAGTTGCGCAGATGGAGAAGAGGAATGAGAAGGAACAGAGGGTGGATCAGTGTCCATTGATGGTTTGGTCTCTGCAATATATTCAGAGATTGCTTCAAGTGTTTCGGAGTTCAGAGACGTCGTATGGGAGACAATATTGGAGATGGAAGGAGGAGGAGTTTGAGTAAAGATCGGAACTGTAATGGACTGTACCAAGGTAGGGGGGGCGAAAGGGTGGAGGGAACTGGAGAAGTGTGGGAGGGGACAGAAGAGGAAGAATCTGGAGGGGACAGGGGAGGAAGGCACAGTACGAGGAGGAGGATGAACCTCCACACTTGTAACAGAGCCAGTGACAGGGGAAGACCCAGGTACAGAGACCGGGAAGGTAAAGTGTGGAGGTGGATAAAGGGAAGGAGGGGTTAAAGGAGATTTTTTGGATTTCTGAGAAGTAGAGGGACGATTGGGAGGAGGTGTCGTACGAGGTCTTGTCGATACCGGGGTTTGTGAGGGAGAACACGAAGAAGTGAGAACAGACTGAGGTGTTGAAGTAGGGACGTCTGAGCCCAGGACAACAAAAGAATTAGATACAGGAGTGACTATGGGACTGGCAACCATAGAGGAGGCTGCAGAAGATGGGACCCCAGAAGTGGGGGAGGGACATTTTGAAACACGAGAATAAGAAACACGGGGTAGTCTCCCTTGGAGGCGGAGATGAGAAACCGCCATAGCATAAGGGAGACCTTCTGCTTCTTTGAGGCAACGAGTTTCCCGCCCATTTAAGTAGACCTGGCAATGGCGAGAGTACGAAGGGTGAGCCTCACGACAATTAAGGCAAGAGGGAGGTCGACTGCAAGACAAATTAGAATGGTCATCGGCACCACAGACAGGGCATTTGGCTATAGATCTGCAATATTTTGCTGGGTGGCCAAATCGCCAGCAATTTCTACACTGTTGCGGTGTAGGGACCACCTTTCGAACTTGTAACCGATGTCCTGCTACATAAACAGAGGATGGAAGTTCACGGCTGTCAAAAGTTAAACGAGCCACATTGCAAGGGTATCGTCTCCGCCCACAGGCAGGGAGAACACAAGTGTCTACCTTGAGAATTGGGAGATCTTGGAGTTCCAGCTGTTCGAGAATGTCATTGCCACATGTCTGGAAATTCTGTTGGACTATGGTATGGGGCAGAATGACAGTACCACTACAAGAATTGAGGGAATGATGTTTTTCGATAGTGATAGGAATAGTATCAATATGTGAAAGAGAAAGATCATGAGCTTGGGTAGCATTCTGGACTGATGATGTGCATACCACTCTTAAGAGCATGAAAGGAAATATCTCTACCAACATGGCATAGGAGCATCTTGCCAATACTATGGTCGGAAAGACAGGTAGTAGAAGTCAGTCTTAAAGAATTTAGTCCATTGTGTGGTCCGAAACCGAGTGTGGAGAGGGAGTGCATGACGTGTCAGTCTTTTCCGAGTAGAATGGGAAGGTAACGAAGTGACACCTTCGCACCCGTTGGCAACAACGTTGGTCAACTCTGCTCGGTAACAAACTTCATTCTATTAAACCGAGCATAGGTTACTGGCCGTCTTCTTGTCATCAGTGCCGAGGTTGGGAGACCACTCTCTCCCGCCTTCGCATTGGCCACACTCGTCTTACTCATGGGTATCTCATGGAGAGGCACCCTGTTCCTCTCTGTGAGCAGTGTCAAGTTCCAGTATCGATTAGCCACATTCTGTTAGACTGCCCTCTCTATCAACGAGCACGCAGAATTTACCTCCAACGTCGTCTTCGTTCTCCTACTCTCTCTTTACCTTCCCTTCTTGCTGATGGACCCTCCTTTAATCCTGACTCTCTCATTGACTTCTTGACAACGACTGATTTACTCCACAAACTCTGATGATACTTTTCGCACTCCCCTCAGCCCTTTCTGGTTCAGTCTCTTGCTGCCCTTTACCCTTTCACCATCCACTGCCCCGCTGTTATCCGTAACCTGTTGCTCATCCATCTCCCTTTTGCCACCTGATGCCCTCGCTTCCTTCCTGCCCTGCAGCGCTGTATAGTCCTTGTGGCTTAGCGCTTCTTTTTGATTATAATAATAATAATAATAATAACGAAGTGACATCATCAGGAGATTGTCGTTGGCATTTAGAAGTGGGACCAGAGTTGGTCCGACGTGGGATGGGCTGGCGATTCTAAAATTGCTGCACCGTAGAGCGAGAGGCCGGAAGCATAGTCAAAGGAGAGCGGAGGTCAGACAAATCGAAGGAGTCAGTCGAAACCCCGGCACCTGAAGCGGGTGATGAAACAGCACCAGCAGTCATTCACGTCGACTCCAGAGCCACAATCCAGGCCGTCATGCGCAGAGAGCCCAGGTACAACATCCGGCTAATTACTGCCATCAGGAAGGACCTGCAGACACTTAATGAGCAGGGACGCCGGGCAACAATCAACTGGATTCCGAGCCACATCAACCTTGCTGGGAATGATGCGGCGAAGTCAGCCACTCTTGAGGCCCAGCCAGCGGCTACAATGGCCATCAGCCGCAGGCAGGTGGACCTGTGGGTAGCCGCTGCAGCCAGGCGCCCGCTGCCAGGGCCGGGCACATCGCGGAGCCGGATCTGGTATGACAGGGCTACCCGAGGGGAGCCCCCACCGAGCATGCGGAGGCTAGACAGGAAGTTGCAGGTTGGGATCCACTGGCTGCGACTTGGCTACCCTACCACCAGAAGACTCATCGAACGCTTGAGAGAGGAACGCTGCTGCCATTGTGACCAGATGGTCTCCAAGCCACTAGTGCACTACCTTCTCGACTGCCCAGCGATGGTGCCACTCCGACGGAGGCACTTCCCAATGGCACCTGGGGACCCGACCCGAGAAGACACCGCAGCCCGGCTGGTGTACCTGGCTGTCCGAGACCTGGGAACTCTCATCCCCGTCCTGGCTGCCCACCCGCCGCCTCGATGGCGACGATTCGCTACTACCTCTCCCGTCTTTTGACTCTCCTACCCCTCCTTTCTTCCTGTCTTTCACCCCCTACCTTCCCTTAACTACCACTTAAAAAAAAAAAACAAATCCAATGGAGCCTGTATTAGTTTACTAGGTAGAAGCCTGAACTTACCTAGAGCCCATGCCACACAACCAACAATTGTTGGGGCAACAAATACCCGAAGATTCTGGGCCCTAGAGATGCCTGCTGATGAAGCCCAAGTGGACGCCTGCTGATGAAGACCAAGATGACGCCTGCTGATGAAGATACGAAGTGAGACGACACTCCCCCATGGGGAGTCACCGCAAGAGAGATGATGATGTTACGACACCCCCAACCCGGGGGCCACCGCCGGGTCACCATCTGGAGAAGACCCGGGCCGGAAGTACTGGCAAATCCCTAATGAATGAATGAAGCACCAGCAAGAGGTACAGGGCCTTAGGAGTGTCCAAAAGACGAGGCGAGGTCAGAACGGGGTGCGGTAACAATAAGGGGCCCGGGGGTAGCGGGGTCATGGATTGGGGACTCCATGGTTAGGTTACTTCTTTCTTTTTGTTTTTAAGAAAAAAAAAAAGAAAAGAAAAGAAAAGAAAAATAAAAAAAGATTAAAAAAAGGGGGGACTGGGGAGGGATAGTTCCTAGGAGGAATGAAAGGGCCAGAAATCTCCCTTTCGCGCCCAAGAGGACCTCAGCACCGCAAGTAGCACAGATGCAGCATGAAACCCATGCCATACCCTACCCTTCATGCCAGTAAACCAGCAATCCGGGATAGCAACCTCACATCTGCCGAGCTATCTTGGTGGACAAAAGAGAGGGCGGCCGGATATCCGCCACAAAGCATACCTCCTTCAGCCACCACCCCGGAATCCGAAAGGTGGCTTCCAGAGATACACCAGTCGCCCGAAAGACACCCAAAGCCACTCTCTGGGATACTGGAGGGGGATCGGGACATCCCCAGGTGATCCAGATTCCACGGCAAACTACGCCACTGCCAAGAACCTCAACGGAATGGGATGGGCTCCGGTACCCTTTCCCCTACCTAGGAACTAGCGTGCCTGTGGGAAAAATCCCAAAGGCCAAAAAGAGGAAGGGGAAAAGGGAGGGGTGGGGAGGAGGAGGAGGAAAGGAAAAAGGGGAGGATGGGATAGGGAAGGGGGGATTGGGGGTAATTAGGTTCGGTCTGAGGAAGGAGACTGACAAGTCTAATTCCTCTGACCAAGAGCCTCTTCACCATGCCAAGGAGCCCCCCTTGAAGAGGCCTAGGATTATAAGCTTTGATAGTTCCCTGGTCATGTGAGTGAACACTTGTGTAAGTGACTGAAATCTGGATTTACTGTCTTTGGCACAAAATACACACTAATAATCTGAATATTACAGATTTTTTTATCATTCAACAGTGCACAACCAATGTAAGTGGCTGTTTGACATATATTACACCAATATACTGTATATGTACTATCTCATTAATTTCTTTGTACTTTTGTTTTCTTTGAATACAAAGAATAAAAGTAATGTATTTATTATGTATGTTTCCAGTATTCTTTAATTATAACTATTTACAATTATATTTAATTTTTTAGAAATCACTTTTTAATTTATATGATCTCTTCCAAATTTCACAAAGGCAAACAGTTACATGAAATCTGTAAAATATGGCAAGAGGCATAGATACATGAGAGATGATAGTCCATGCCCAGATACCATAAAAGTTGAGTTGGGTAGGATGTGCATCAGCACGTGAAGTTTCAAATGTATTTATGGCCCACATCGCCAAATTGCACACTAGCAGAAAAGTTACCTGAAAGAAATGAATGCATAAATTCATGCTACATTTCCAAGCAGATAAAAAATCAGAAGATTATTGATAAATAGATAAGAAAATAATAACAGTATAACATGGTAGAACAGATTTTAACCTTTAAATTGGTAGTGATGATATCTAAGCCACAAGAAAACTTTACCTTGCGAATATTTTTTTTGTGTGGGTTAAAACAAATGTATCACAATCACTGCAGAAGTACGGTGGTGCCCAGAGATTCGGCCATAATTCGTTCCAGAAGGCTGTCTGAGTGCCGTTACTGAATGAATTTGTTCCCGTAGGGAATATTGTAAATTAGATTAGTCCGTTTCAGACTCCCAAAAATACACTTACAAAAGCACATACAATAATACACTTACACAATAGTTCGAGTTGGTAGCTGTGTGAAACTCGGGGTACCACTGTACGTGCATTTTGTCATAATTAAAACTTTGCCTTACCATTTCTCTGCCTGGTTTGCGTTCAAGCTGCTCATGATTGTAACAACACCGTCTGGTTGCATCCAAAATGAAAATGGTCTGCAGAGTTGTCTGAATAAGAGTGATAATAGCAGACAGAAGTGGTAGAACCATGTGATCCTGCATTAAAAAAAAATTATAATAGATGAATCAGTATGAATTTGAAAAAATTCTGTCTCAAGTTTAAAATTATCACATCAGACCCCATCATCTGTGAGGATATGAAATGAAAAAAAATTATTTGTATAGATAACTTTCACATGACAGACAGCTGTTGACAATGATTTAATGATTTTAACTTTGGTAGATACTGTATAGTATACATAGAAATTTAATAAAATGAAAACTTAGTTAACTTTATTAACCCTTTCAGGGTTGAGACTGCCAATCTCAGGGTTGAAAATTAAAAAAAAAAAAAAAAAAATTCTAATGAAATGATAGAGAATCTTTTCCTGATGGTAATGACAACAAAAGTATGAAATTTGATGGAAAACTTACAGAATTATGCTCTCGCGAACTTAGTGGTCTCGACGATATTTATGCATCGGCAATTTTGCCCACTTTGAGCCCTGTTATTGGCCAGTTCCAATGTTCCAGTAAACTCTAATCATAGCTATTTTGCTAGACCTCCATTTGTTCTATTGAATGAGTACAAGAAACTGCCAGTTTACCGATTTCAACTACCCAATGAAGTGGTCAAAAATTGGCAATTTGGCCAATTTCACACAAATTTCAAAAGATGCCAATTTCAAAATAGGGTCCAGAATAAACAAGACAGACATTCCTGGCACTAAAATAACATTTTCTCTGTTCATTAGTCACGTCTCCAGGCCCCTCTTATATTACTCTTGCTTTCTATTTTGAATTTTTTTCTCACAAAAAATAGAAGATTTACTCTTATGCAAACTACTGCAGTATTGTAAAAATGGTATAAATAATGTCAGCGCACTTGTGAAAGTATCCGACTCACCGTTGATGTGTATTGGACACGTGGCATGATTTGTTTACTCGAACATCGGCAAAAATCGAACATTTCTGCTACTTTGAACTCAATTTCAAAATACTTTTCATTGTGAAACCAATCAAAATCACCTCGATTTCTGTAATATGTCTTCCATTCTATCAAATAAGACCAAGAAAACGAGAATACTGCACACAATGACCAAGTAGACCCATTCTTTCATATGTAGGCCTACCAGCTTTCTTCCACTCGATTTGAAGGTGCTAAAATTTATGCATACAAGTACGGCACTGACCTTGGCTCTCAAGCCGTACAAGTACGGCACTGACCCTGAAAGGGTTAACCAAACAACATTAAAGTTTCATTAAAAAAAAAAAAAATCTGAAAATTTAATAAAGTATCATTTTAGAATTTTTATATTCTTACTGAAGAATATTAATCTTATTAAGCCTTAGTAGAATCAAATTGTCTCCATGGGGAAATAAAAAGAATTCTTCCTCCGTAAGCCATGCGAGTCATAAGAAGCAACTAAAATGCTGGGAGCAAGGGGCTAGTAACCCCTTCTGTACAAATTACCAAATTTAAAAGGAAAAAACTTTTTTCTTTTTTAGGTCACCCTGCCTTGGTGGGATATGGCTAGTTCGTTAAAAAAAAAATGGTATCTAATGTGTAAGCATTAACATTTATTATTGTGACAACTAGAGGTCAATTTTGTTGTGAATTTTGTGGCATCAATTTTAGGATGAGTTCTAATAAAAAAAAAACTTTTCATCATGAAAACTACACTAATAATTGACATTTATAAATTTCACATTTACCTATCTTTGAAAGGAATAAAAGTGAAATTGTACATACTTTTTTTAGTTGTTGGTTTAGTTGTGGCCATGGCCATCACTGAAGACAATTGGATATACAGTGGAACCTCGGCTTACGAATTTAATCCATTCCGTGACCTTGTTTGTATCCTGAATTGTTCGTATGCCAAGTCAATTTTCCTCATTTAAATTAACTGAAATGCAATTAATCTATTCCAGCCTCTCAGGAGGCATGACAAAATAATGCTAATATCAACTCTACGGCTTAGTTATCTATCACAATTCATCTCATATGACATAATAAACAATATTAATAACACAGAAGCATGATATATACTCTAGAATGAATAAAATAGGCTATAATAAGGCAAGTGATGGTGACACCAGCAGTGGCAGAAAGCATCCGCCATTTACTCTCCCACTCTAGTATCTTACCAGTCCATAACCCCACACCTAGCTTTGTTTAAATATGATTAGTGGTGAGGTTGTCACATATGTACCCACAGATGTGGTCAAGACAGATGTATATATAGGTGAAGACATGATCACTGTGGCCACGGTGGTGGTGGTGGCGGCCAGCTGCCCCACTATGCTGCTGCCTTCTTCCTTTCTCTAGCTTTTTTCATAGTTTCTAATCGCTTCTTGCTGATTGTACGCAAATACTGTCTCTTTGGGGTCTGCTGCGATCACTCAGAGCGGCACACCTCTTTCTTTTGACTCTTGGTTGGCATTGAGATAGCCATGGTCATAGCAGCTGTACCTACAGCCACCCAGAGGGTTACCAATTTCTATTTTGAAGCATTTGGCACAAACATAAAAAAAAAATACGAAAAATGTCTAAAAATGACAACATATATTTTTAATATTATTATTCTTAGTACATACATATTATAATTATTATTATTATTATTAATTAGGGAACTGGAGCACAGATCCAATTCTATAGATCAAGAGCCCATCACCATGTACGTACTAATAATAATAATAATTATAATACAATGGACCCTCGCATAACGCTATTAATCCGTTCCTGAGAGCTCAATGTTAGGCAAAATTATCGCTAGGCGAATTAATTTTCCCCATAAGAAATAATGGAAATCAAATTAATCTGTGCAAGACACCCAAAAGTATGAAAAAAATTTTTACCACATGAAATATTAATCTTAATACACACAAGCTGAAGAAGACATGCACAGTTACATGACACTTACCTTTATTGAAGATCTGGTGATGATTGATGGGATGGGAGGAGGGGAGAGTGTCGATGGTCTTAGTGTTTAGAAGGGGAATCCCCTTCCATTATGACTTGAGGTGTCAAGTCCTTTTCTGGGGTTACTTCCCTTCTTTTAATGCCACTAGGACCAGCTTCAGAGTCACTGGACTTCTGTCGCACAACATATCTGTCCATAGAGGTCTGTACCTCTCCTTCCCTTATGACTTTCCTAAAGTGGTTCACAACATTGTCAGTGTACAGGTTGCCAACACGGCTTGCAACAGCTGTCTGAGGGTGATTTTCATCCATAAAGATTTGCACTTCAAGCCACTTTGCACATATTTCCTTAATCTTTGAAGTAGGCAACTTCTTCAATTTCTCTCTCCCCTCCTCCGAAGCAGTTTCCTCAGGTGTGGCCTCTTGCTGTTGAAGTTGATCTAGCAGCTCATCAGTGGTTAGTTCTTCATTGTCCTCCTCCACCAACTCTTCCACATCCTCCCCACTAACCTCCAACCCCAAGGACTTCCCCAGTGCCACAATTTATTCCTCAACTGGCATATGCCTCTCAGGGTTAGCCTCAAATCCTTCAAAATCCCTTTTGTCTACACATTCTGGCCACAGTTTCTTCTAAGCAGAGTTCAAGGTCCTCTTAGTCACTCCCTCCCAAGCCTTACCTATAAGGTTTACACAATTGAGGATATAGGCCAGGATGAATTATAGCAGTTGGATATGCTGAATGTTGAAGACAGAGTAAAACAACTGAAGCTAAATCATGTTTATAAAATTGCTCACAAACAATGTCCAGAATATCTTGCTGTCAATTTTGTCAAGGTTGGGAACCAAAGCAATCATAGTACTAGGGGGAGAGAGCACAACTTTGTAGTACCCACAGTCAGTGGCCAGGCTTCAAACACCTTTTATTGTACAGCAATAAAGGAATGGAACAGACTGCCCGCACATGTCAAAGCCAGTTATAGCATGAACCAGTTCAAGAAGAGTGCCAAAAGGTGTCTGATGAATGTAGCTACAGAAAGGGAGGGGAATGATTTTCTATTTTTTAGCTAACATACGTGTAAATTTTACCTTATTCCTAGTAATGACCCTCGTATTGTAGATAGTCTAAATGACCTTGGTGTAGTAGATAGTCTTTTTAGTATGATAATAAGATGTTATCTTCATTGTAGATAATAAGAAAATATTATAACCTTTATATTATAATAAGGTAAAAGGACCCCAATGGAAATAAGTCACTCTGTCTGACTTTTTTGGGTTATCCTAGGTTCTCTACACATATGCTGCTATGTATGATAATTCTATGTAACTGTACTTGTGTATACCTGAATAAACTTACTTACTTAATAACCCTTTGACTGTCGCAGGCCCCTTTCTGAAACTGTCATTCTATGTCGCAAAATATTGGAAAAAAAAAAAAAAAAATTTCTTATGGAAATGTTAAGATTATTTTTCCGAGTGTTTTAATCCAAAAAAAAATTTTTGCCATCAGTACTTACCGAGATATAGAGCTGTGAAGTTTGCAGAAAATGAGCCGCGTATGGCAACAGCGGCGACTGCCGCTCACCCGGTAAACTTTAGTTTACTTGTATTTGAAGGTTTTTTGCTTTTTTCACTATTTTATTTTTTCACATAACTTATGTGGCCTATGAGACCAAAGTAAGGTGCAATGTACATATATACACTCGTATACAACACAATAAGCACACAAACATAATTATCAATATATTGTTTACAAAACTTGTTTACAAAAACAAACAATACAAAAAATTGTTTATTACTATTGTTCTATAATATACAGTGGACCCCCGCATAACGATTACCTCCGAATGCGACCAATTATGTAAGTGTATTTATGCAAGTGCGTTTGTACGTGTATGTTTGGGGGTCTGAAATGGACTAATCTACTTCACAATATTTCTTATGGGAACAAATTCGGTCAGTACTGGCACCTGAACATACTTCTGGAGTGAAAAAATATCGTTAACCGGGGGTCCACTGTATATACCAATGTACAGTCACCGAATATATTCCTAGAAGTTCTGCAGCTTGTGGAACTCTGTGAAACATGTTTTCATACACAATGGTGTTTTACACTCCTCACACATAAAACCAGTGT